CCGTGTCCAGGACTAATCTGCACACCAATAACAGCAAAGGAATCGCAGGGGGATTTGTCATTTTCGGCGTTATGTTATGGTTGAGGTCCTCAACATGAGGATATGATTGCCAGCAGAGTTGATAATAGAAGAGTTAAGTCCAGACAGTAGTCATGGATGGCACAAGGGTTGAGTGGGAGGAACAAGGGAACAACTGGTAGAAAACGAGATCATTTCCATTATTTAAGGACACTAATGACGGAATCCATTTTACACACAATTTGGTTTAACCACTTCGCAATTTCACGGGCACACATCTGGGGATCTACTTAATGGACAAAGTTCAAAATTAATCTACATGTCTGCTGCAGAGAGGCAAGCATTTCATTAAATTTGCCCACCTGTATGACTTCCATATGGCCAGTGCCAGTGAAAACGCGAAGTGGAGGGATTCCATGAACCTCAAATATTGCATCCGAACTGACATTTACATGGTCAGATTTCAATGTCTATATGTCAAACTAATTCTGTTTTCGTCGCAAATTAGATCAGATCTCAAATCAAACCAGAGTAGCTCTGAGCAACTCTGAGTAAAAGAAAATTTGAGAGGTACTCAAATGAAAGCCGTCTTCCCCCTCGGCAAAGAGTGTATATCATTTTGTCATTTTTTTTGTGCATTTCAGTTTTGAGTAGAGTGAAAGAGATGGAACCAAAACATTCTAATACATTTGGTGAAAATGCTATAGCAACTATAGTTCAATCCAGTAGTAGTGTTGCCATGTGGTACAATCCAGTGGTAGTAGTGTTGTCATGTGGTACACTGAAAAATTGCAATAGCAGGTTAGTCACCAAAGTTTTCGAGCCGCTCCGTCTGTCACTTCGTTTGTGGTTATATCATGCCGATATAAGCATTAACATCTCCAGAGGATCATCACCGATCGTTCCAAACATGTGCTGCACTCTCATTGGTGGAAAAGTGGCAGCACAGCGAACAAAAAAATAATCGATTAGTTGTTAATCGAGTAATTAAAAAATGGGACATCTCTGATTTTGGTGTGATTGTTTTGATAAAAATGAGCGCAAAATTTCATCTCTATCGAGGGGGCAGCAAAACCACAAAATTACCTTGAATACGAGGGGTATTCATTGGATGGAAGGGACCGTGAAAGAGAACACTAAAATAGAAAGTTTTTCTTCCGACAGTTTCATCACAAACGAAGTGACAGACGACTAACTGGCGAAGAAATCCATTTAAATAATGTGGTTCACTGTAATAGAATTTTCTTGGAAGCTTGTGCCATCATCCACCAGATGGGTTAGTTTTTTTGTTTTGATTTGAACAAAGTTGATTTTGTGTACAATGATTCTTTGACAGTGTGCAAAGAGTGCGTATCATTTTGTCATTTTTTTATGCATTTCAGTTTTGAGTAGAGTGAAAGAGATAGAACCAAAACATTCTAGTACATTTGATGAAAATGCTAGTTCAATCTAGTAGTAGTGTTGCCATGTGGTACAATCCAGTAGTAGTGGTGTTGCCATGTGGTACACTGAAAAATTGCAATAGCAGGTTAGTCACCAAAGTTTTCGAGCCGCTCCGTCTGTCACTTCGTTTGTGGTTTCATCTTAGTATTCATCTTTGTATGAAGTATGTGTCTGACACATAAATAGCATTTGTTCATCACATTGCAAAAATTCATGTGTGGGGCACATAAAAACAATCTTTGAATTTATTTCAGTGTAGGTACGGGAGACCAGCGTAATGGAGGAAACGACTACTTCAGTGCAGCAGAGGATGGAACTGACCCAACTCCCACGCTGAGGGAAGTTAAGGATGCCATTCAGCAGCTCAAAGCAGCTGGTAAGGATGGTATCGCAGCCGAACTCATCAAGATGGGCCCAGAAAAGTTGGCCATATTTGGCCCGTTGCACCGGATGATAGTCAGGATCTGGGAAACAGAACAGCTACCGGAGGAGTGGAAGAAAGGGGTAATCTTCACCATTCACAAGAAAGGCGACCATTTGGAATGTGAGAACTTCAGAGCGATCACCATTTTGAATGCCGCTTACAAAGTGCTAACCCAGGTCATCTTCCGTCGTCTATCACCTAAAATGACGAGATCGTGGGAAGTTATCAAGCCGGCTTCATTGACGGCCGATCGACAACGGACCAGATCTTCACCGTACGGCAAATCCTCCAGAAATGCCGTGAATACCGACCGCACAGAGCTATGGAAAATCATGGACGAGAACCGCTTTCCTGGGAAGCTGATCAGACTGATCAAAGCAACGATGGACGGTGTGCAAAACTGTGTAAGGGTTTCGGGTTAACTATCCAGTTCATTCGAATCTCGCCGGGGACTGCGACAAGGTGACGGACTCTTCAACATCGCTCTAGAAGGTGTAATGCGACGAGCCGGGCTCAACAGCCGGGGTACGATTTTCACGAAATCTGGTCAATTTGTGTGCTTTGCGGACGACATGGACATTAGCGCAAGAACATTTGGAACGGTGGCAGAACTATACACCCGCCTGAAACACGAAGCAGCAAAGGTCGGACTGGTGGTGAGTGCGTCAAAAACAAAGTACATGCTAGTATGCGGAACCGAACATGACAGGATTCGTCTAGGAAGTAATGTCACGATAGACGGGGATACTTTCGAGGTAGTGGAGGAATTCGTTTACCTTGGATCCTTACTGACGGCTGACAACAATGTGAGTCGTTAAATACGAAGGCGCATCATCAGTGGAAGTCGTGCCTACTACGGGCTCCAGAAGAAACTACAGTCAAAAAAGATTCACCCCCGCACCAAATGTACCATGCACAGAACGCTGATAAGACCGGTGGTCCTCTATGGACACGAGACATGGACTATGCTCGAGGAGGACCTGCAAGCACTCGGAGTTTTCGAGCGACGTGTGCTAAGGACGATCTTCGGTGGTGTGCAGGAGAACGGTGAGTGGCGGCGAAGAATAAACCACGAGCTCGCTGCACTCTACGGCGAACCCAGCATCCAGAAGGTGGCCAAAGTTGGAAGGATGCGGTGGGCAGGGCATGTTGCAAGAATGCCGGACAACAACCCTGCAAAGTTGGTGTTTGCTACTGATCCGGTTGGCACAAGAAGGCGTGGAGCGCAGAGAGCACGATGGGCGGACCAGGTAGAGCGTGATCTATGTCTTATGTTAAATGTGATGTTGTACAAATAAATGTATGTATGTACCTAACATTATTGAGCAAAATCAAAAATAGGCGTTTGTTCAGAACTCCAAAATAAGGGTTTTGGCTCGGGTTTTGGCCAAGTTTGGCTCAAATCGGTGACATCGAACAATAAATTAAGGCTGGTAAGTTGCTGTAGTAGCTGGAGCACCTAGATTAAAATGAAATGTAGGGGCTTATTATGGATGTCACTTCACGGTGAAAACTTGTCACTTGTCGTCACGGTGAAGTGATTCCCATTTGATTTGTACGGCAATCACGGCTCTTATTCTGAGTATCACTTCCTAATCACCGTGTAGTGACACCCGTAATAAGGCTTGAATTTGAAACAAATATAGCTACGAAAAAAAAGTCGAACTAGAAGCTGATACACTGAAAACGAGATGCCCAAATTCATCAGGATGCTGAAAGTTGTCAGTACAATTGTCAATGAGATATTAATAACACATTTTTGCAAATACACTTCGTGTTAAAAAAAAAAAAACTAAAAAAGTTGTCGGAAAAATTTACCACTGTCCACAGGTTCATTCGATTGTTTCTTTTGTTCTATTGTTACAAAACACTGTGTGTTCATTTTTTATGTATATTTAATATAATCTGAATGATGCTTATTCGATTAACTATTTACAATGGTCACTTTTTTTTACATAACTGGTTTTTCCATTTTAGATAAATTACTGTTTAAATTTTCAGCTTAAACTAAAACATGAAATTACTCAGCTGTCAAAAACGTTTCCTAATATTTTCGATTCATACCGTTTGGATGGAGGAAAAAAACGATTCCCTAAAAAAAATATCATCTATGAACTATTGAATCGAAACAACACAGTATATGTTACAATTTTCGCGTGCTAAAATCTAAAAAATACAAAATAAAAAAATACTCAGAGTATCACATTTTTTTTTGTTCATATTTAACTAAATATAAATATATTAAAATCTTATTTCGTTCGCACATGTTTGCACAAACATAGCCTAAATGCGCGAAATGATGCATGCGTACGAAGAAAAAACAAAATTGATGGATTGTTTGATGATACTGACAAACTATAATTAATTTATTGCTTCTCCTGGAAAGGTGGGTGACACAAACTAAGAATACGTCATTGTATTGCCCGTTGCAAGTTTGTCTGTCATATTATAAATACTTCACGAGTATTTTCGTTCGAGATTCTTGAGCAATTAGACACTATTGAATATAATTAAAAAAAAAAAAAACACATCGTTCGCGTCAGAGTTTCGGAACGCTGGCGTGAACGGTCAAGAATACTTGCGCATTTGTAAACCTGATCTGCTCTTGAATTAAGGTCGTAGTTGGTAAACATAAAAGTACTTGCTATTCACTAAAATTGTCATTAATGTAATGAAAGATGGATGAGTGTGCGAAAATGGAGCCAAATTTTCGGCTTCTGATTGTAACGCTGGCTTGCAGTCAAAATAACACACCTAAAACATGTGCGGGCGTTCATTCATACAACCGTACTCGCATGCAATCACACTTTTATTCTTAGCCTAGTCAATCGAGCTAGGCTCGACTCAATTGGAACGTGCCTAATCAATGTCGACAAAAAAAAAACAATCATCTACTGGAAGAACTTTCCTATTAACAAGCGAAACTAAATCTACCTAGCTAATTTTGATCGGTCGTTCGCGCCTGCAGCTAAAAATTTGGCCACCAATTTCCGCAGTTTCATCTTGTAAAACGAGAAATTGGAAAATGTTTGTTCGCGTACATGATGGATTGTGGCAAATCGCCTCCCAGGTGTTTCTAAGGCATCCAGGTCTGGGATAGCACTTTGATTTGCGATTTGTTGTATTTCTTTAAAGGTAAATTGTTTAACTTCCCTGCTTATCGCACCTTGCAGTGCAGAATGGGCACACGTTTCAGAGTAAGGCCTCAACTTGAACCAAATGTGGTATGCTGGCTGGGGATGGTTTGTGCTAGGCACACAGTCTCTCACAAATGTTCCTAATCGTTATCGCCGCCAAATTCGTCTTTTGCATATTGTTTGCGGTACCACTATTAATACCTACATGCATTGGCAAAGCTCGGCGGCAGCACTTCGTTTTCAATCACACTCTCTTTCTCTCTCTTTCTCACATCAACTATATCTTCCTAAGGCTTGAATGTCTTCAACTGTGGAGTCTGTTGGAAAAAGAAAATCTTATTGCGATGACCTGTGTCGATTATCCGGGTTTGTGGTGTGTGTGTGTGTTATTCGGTTTAGATGGATGCTATCGTTATTATTGCTCTCGAATTAAATCGCCTCGATGTACCAGTCTGACGATTGAGGTTTGTTTGCGTGCTTGAAAGCATGTTTATATGGCATTATAGAGGTTACGGATGATACATTCCAACCAAATCTAGTACTTGATGGTTGATTCGGATATAGAGAATTATTAACATACAGATAAAGACGACATTCATCCCTGTACCTTTCTTTAGTTGAAGAAGTAAAACTAGTCCACAGGCAGAAGAAGATGATAGAATTTTGCGATTCAACTAGGTAATGCCGTTTTAGGTGGCGATATAAATATTTTTGCGTGATCGATTTGTTTCTGAAAGTAGTACCGGAAAAGTGGGGGTTGCGTGCTAGCAGCGGTTATTTATCCCAATCACCGAAAGCAGTCTCTATTATCAAATATACGTCTTTTTCACCTTCTGCAGCGTGCCCATGCCTTTACTGATGTCCTTCTCCAGATTCTCCGTCGAGTTCTTGCATTCGACGCTTCGATCTTTGAAATCAAAGTCGATATTGTCCTTCATATTGTTCTGATGGTGCTGCTGCAGCTGCTGGACGATAGCCTGCTGCTGCGTGTGGTACTGATTGCCGGTGTTTGTGTTTGTGTTCGTGTTCATCAGTAGATTCACGTCTTTCCCGCTGGTGCGGTTCTGCGAAAGCATGCTCAAGTTCTTGGTGTGGTGCCTGCGGGAGATACAGAAAATGCAACGAAATGGATAGTTAGAATCAATAACACCTCTTCTATTGCTAAAGCACATACCAATTCAGCTGATTTCGATGCTCACTGCCGTGAAAGGACTGCTTCTTGATGACCTGTCGAGTGATGCAAAAACCAAGCAATATGCCGATGATGACCGAGAATACCACCAGCATGATGCTTATTTGCCAGTTTAATGCTGCCATGGAGACGCTTTCCTTAACGAGCGGATCTGTAGTAAAAGGAAAATGGTGAAATTGGCATTAGTATTATTAGTATTAGACACTTTTGAAGTTTCTAAAATTAATGTAAGTAATGGGTGGAGAACAAGCGAAGGGCGAGGGGATTTTAAACACTAGATTAACATGCACGGCGAATGAGAACGACTCAAATTTGAGTTTAGTTCACTCATAATCGCCAAAAGTGCAGGAACTCAGCGATGAGTAAATTTGCCTCATGTTTTCCCAGGTGTTTCCAGGATTTTCCAGAAAAAATTCCCGAATTTGAGAAAAGTAACGATAGGATTCACTCAGTCTATTGGTACTATTCCGAGACTGAATAAAATTTTCGTCAATTTCCTCATTTTCCGGAAGATTTTTTAGGTTTTCCACAGGAAACCATGAGACAAATTTTACTCATCGCTGAGTTCCTGCACTTTTGGCGATTATGAGTGAACTAAACTCAAATTTGAGTCGTGCTCATTCGCCGTGTAAGCTTAGGTAATCAAGACTTATAAGTTACTCAGACTGCAGTGAGATATAAACCACACTTTTTCAGACTGCAGTGAGATGTAAACCACACTTCTGCAATGTCCGCGAACAGTATCCTTTCACCGCGCATTTCCTCGACAAATTTCAAATTGAAATTCAAATTTTTTTTAAATATATATTTTTTGTATCTGAAAAAACTTTTACACCCCTCGATTGTTTATGTTTTCATATTTTGAGATATTTTGAAGCAAACTGCTCGACCTAGTGTATTTGTACACGTGATCGCATTTGATTCACTTGAAACAAATTGAGAACGCAGTGATTTCGAAAGCAATTTCCTTGTATATCCGAAAATTGGTGGTTCGTGATGTGCCAATCGGTGAACCGCACCGGGCTGCCGCTAGGAAGTACAGTATCAGCAAGGCAGCGGTTGGGAAAATACTTCTGAAATTTAAAACGTTCGGACCATGCGCGAAGCCAAGAAGAACCCGAAGGTAACTTTCTGCGAGATCCAGGAAAGCCTTCAGCTATCAGTTTCCGGTCGAAATATTCGTCGCCGTCTCGTAGCACAGGGGTTGATTAGTAAATATGCCCGGAACCGTCCATTTATCAGCAAGTCAAACAAAGCCAAACGACTTAAGTTTGCAAAGGAGTATGCTGATAAACCGCTAGAGTTCTGGAAAGCAGTTCTCTGGACGGACGAATCAAAATTCGAGCTGTTTAACCGAAAGCGGCGGGTCAACCCCATCGAGAATTTGTGGGCGATTCTCGATGCCAGGGTTGACAAAACTAGTGTTAACAATAATAATAATCATCTCTCTTAATCGTTGGAGAGTGATGGTGAGGGGTATCCCCATAGAGGTAACTCTAAGACCAGAAGGTCCCGAAGAAACGTGCTCAACTTTTTGGCTCAGTTCTGGTACTCTCTTCGGTCCCAAGCTAATCGATGCACCCCTCGAAACATTGGAAAATCCACGAACCCCTCATTTTATCTGTCAAACTTACATAGCGAATCAAAACAAACATAGTGTAGTACTAGAATTTCGACTACAATGGGGTACGTTAATCGATTTGCTTGGAACCAATAGGCTAGTCAAGTAGTGAACCAATTTAAAATCGTTAGCTTCCACCGTTTGCTGCGAAATTCCCAGCCAGGGTTCACTGTGCAACGACTTTGCTTCGACAACTTAGTATGCGTTCTACTCAAGAAACGATTTGAATATAATTGAACGCAAAGTGGCGCTGTTAACCGGCAGAATTTGCCAATCCACTTGGAAGCAGATGTCATCTTAGGCTATGTTCCATTTGGAAATTTTTCACTTAAATTTGACACTTCGAAAATAAGAACATCTCGAAGACCCTCAAGTATCTCGAAGCCTCAAGCAAGAAAATGTCTGATGTGGAACTCTGGAACGCCATCCTGCAGCTAAAGAATCGCATCACGAGGCAGCCAATTGAAAACCTGGAAAATCGGTGAAATCCGATTACTGGCAGTGAGAAGATTATTGAGTCCTTGGCAAGCGATCTGTCCAAGCTCAAACCGGACCAATTCAAAGCTCTCCTTTTTGTCTGTGGACTCAAATCGACTGATCTCGAAGCTGGAAGTCGACGAAACCGCAGTCAACGAATTGGGAGAAGCCGCCAGCAAGGTAACCCTGGAGAACCTCGTGGAAGAATCAACTTTGTATCTCGCAACCAGAATAATCCTCCTTCTAAGAAGAACTAAAAATTGCCGAAAATGCCATGTTGGAAGTGTGGCGACCAGCACTATGTTCGTGGATGTCCGTTCGCTTCGCATACCTGTTCCAGATGCAAGTAAAAAAGACACAAGGAAGGGTACTATTCCAGCAACAAACCGGCGTCTTCGAATGGTGCAGCAGTAAAACTTCAACACGACTCAGCGTCCGACATCACCATCATCATCTCAGAAGAGACATGGATCAGTATCGGACAACCCACTCAACCGACGAAAGAATCTGCATTCACAGCCAGGCATGAAAAATCATTTACATTCATTTCATGCATTCATTTACATTCATTTGCCCTAACTTTTTTCATCAACAGCATTCCGCAAAATGATGTAAAGAGCATTTGTAGGTTTTGTTATTAGCTACAACTTTGCCGATAACTCAAATCTGTATCTCTTATGCATCACGAATAAGAGAGGGCAGAACTTGTTACTGTTTTTCAATGAATGTAAAATACATTCAATGAAAAACAGTAGTGGCTTCTGTTCGCTCTGGTTCGTTATGCTTAAGAGATACGAATTTGACTTGCTGACAAAATTTGCAGCTAATAACAAAACCTACAAAAGCTTTATACATCATTTTGCGGAATTCTGTTGATAAAAAAGTTAAGGGCAAATGAATGTAAATGAATGCACGAAATGAATGCAAATGATTTTCCATGCCTGTTCACAGCTTCTGGTGGCAACCTCAACCTTCTCGCCGAGTTCCAGACTGAGATCACCATCGGAAATGTTACCAAGCCTGGTCGCATTTTCATCTCGAGCAGCGCTGAACTCAACGTTCTTGGAATCGAGACTATGGATCGGTTCCATTTGTGGTCTGTGCCGATAAGCAGCTTGGTTAACGTCGTTCACCATCGTTCCTATCAGTTCACCAATCAACTCGAGCAACAGTTTCCAGAGGTATCCCGAAACAAGCTGGGTAGCTACCATAAATCGGACTAGTTCATGTTGATCTTCGTCAAGCTTCGTCTACAATTTGGACTTCTACATCAACACATGTCAAGCAGCCTTCAGGTTCAATTGGCTAAACTTGGTGAGTTCGTTCCATTTTGTAAATTTTTATCTTTTCAAACCAGTAACGTTGGGGGATCACCTTTTTGTGGTGCGTTACTGGTATAAGATCTACCACCGAACCCTAGTCGTGACAACTTCCAACTAGGGAATCAGGATTTTCCAGTCATCAAAGGATCACATTTTAGTCCTTGTTACTTTTTATAACTTGATAATAGTGACATGACTCGGGTAGTGACCACCGCGCCGTTATGCATTTCTATATTGTATATTTCAAATCAAAAATATTGTTTATGTTCATAGATTTCACATAATCCTTTTCCCTTTGTCCTTCTCCTTTCCCTCTTCTCATTTCAGAAAGCGGGTAATGGCGCTATAGCCATAAGTCATAAAAAGGATTGGACAAGAGTTAGTGCTCATGCCCCAACCGTCAGAAGAAAATGGAGCATCACTTAACCTTTCTAGCTTTGATGCTTCCAACCAATCATATAATTACCAAAATCGGAACGTACGGTACGAGATGTCCACGTTTCATCCATTTATTGGATTCTGAAGCATCGTGTTTAAATTCGATTTAAACAGGCCCGATGTTTTCTGAATCATCTTGCCCCTTAAATGTTGCACAGTAGGCCTGGCCGTTTTGATATGTGTGACGCATCTTCGATGTGAAACATATATCAAATAGACAAGAAAAATGATGTAGGTATATATATCATTTTCCAGGATCAGAGTTGCGACCTAACACAATCACGATCGCCAAACAGCTGATGGTAGTAACGCTTTGTACATTCCTATCAATGTGCTCGTCGAAGCTCTCTCCATGACCATCCATCAAGTTGACGAAAGAAGCAAAAAGCAACTGGTGAATGTCGTCTTCGGTTGTGATCCATCACCGATCTGGTCATTCCCGACAATCACGACACTCATCTGTGCTCGTTTTGAAGCAGTTGCTGCTTTGCTTGCTTATGTTAGTGTGTTGGTGAGTGAGCCCAACAGCTTCCGTTTCATGTTGCCTGCTTTGTTTGTAACTCACACAGTCGCGCCTGCCGAGACGAACTTGGAATGCGTAGGCATTGTTTTCATTTTCTTCTGTCGTTTCGCTATTTCTCATGATCGTACTGCAGAAGTTTTCACTGTTTTCGTTGTGATTTTCATCATCAGCAGCGAGTGTAACGTTTTACTTGTGAGCAGCGACCATTACTGGTGATTGTTGTTTGCCATGGCTCTAACTCTCACTGCGTGACAAAACTGTTTTTTTTTTTTTTTTTTTTTTTTTCATTCGTGACTTGTCCGGGGGTGAGATTTGAACTCATGACTTTGGCGTGAGAGGTATGGACCACTACGCCGGGGTCGCCCCCGCGTGACAAAACGATCTGTCAGCGATAGTCGGTTGATGCGAAGACGAGTGTCACGTGAGTGTCATGATATTTTGCATCACTGTCCAGGATGCTTTCAAGAACTGGCTGTGTTGGTGTTAGATAAGATAAGATAAGATAAGAAATTTTACACTTCGAAAATAAATTAAGATGTTCGAAAATTCTTCTATTGTTGATCGGCCGATTTTCAAGAAAGCGACTGTCAAAGTTGATTGCTTGTCTGTCAGAAATAAGTCTGCTGGAATAGCAGGTATATTTGAAAATTTTCCATCCGTCAAATTTAAGTGAAAATTCACCAAATGGAACACAGCCTTAGAATTCAAGATAAGGCCTGTATAGAGATCGAAGCGAAGCGAAAATCTTAAACAAAATACTAAATTTTTCACCTGCGTGAAAAACGCAATTGGCAAATTTTTCACTTCGCTTTGAACTGTAAACATATATGATCCAGCGAAATCTTGTTGTTTATAAATTTATTTGATAAGGCTCAAACGAATTAACTTTACAGAGCCGAGGATTCTTGGTCACTATACAATACATATGTTGCCACACTTCCTGGGCACAACGATGTAGTGAAGATGACACCCAATACCGACTGTCCTACGGATATTTGACATGTGTCGGCAGCAGATAAAATTTAAGAAGAAGAAATCTAACAGGGAAGAAGATCATAAAAAGATCATAAAATAGCGTGAGTGAAGATGTGAAAAAATGAATTATTTAAAATAATAAGTAAATTGATAAATAGTTAGAACAGAAGATAGTGAGCCCGAATAATTACTGTATAATTCTCTAAGCTGAGAAGAAAAAGAGTATTAATTGGTACGGAAAGGTAAGAAAACGGCAATTAGAGTTAAACTAGTGCTTATAGTGTGTTTTAATTTTAGCTAATCATTGGAAAGTTGCATAACAAAAATAAATTCTAGTTAGTCTAAGCAGCCAATACGGTAATTTAAACTACTAAAATTAGAACTCGAAGTGTTAAATTGTATATCATTACAGTTAGACAGTTAGATCGATGCTCATTAAACTTTACGAAGAAGAATTTGATGAAAACACCGAATAAGTAAGGTTACTTTGATTTCTTTCTATCGACATAAATTTAGCTAACTCTTCAATAAAATTGCAGCTTTGAAGCTGCCACAATTGGAGCTATCAAAACGGTGTTTTTACTACGTGAACAACATCTTAAAACTATAGTCAAAAGGCACAACACAATAAACACTTTATTTTCCGCTATACAAAAAGCCTCCTCCATCAGAACTGGAGCCGCTTCCAGTGGTTTCATTGTATGGCAGTTACGCCAACGGGGATCAGAGCGCTTCCATTGCAGCAATAGACGCAAAACGTGGTCAGCATTCACACACTCATCACTAAACGGTTGTCAACGACGCATCGACCGAAAGAACTGCTGATGAAGAACAATGAAGAGGACCACACAATGGTTGCTGGTGAGAAAACAGACGATCGCGTGGCACACATCGAGAGTGGCCTGCTTTTGTCGACAGCCGAGTGAACACTGAAGCAGAGAAATCTTACACACCAAATTTTGAAATTATGTTCCAGCATAACGAATTGCTGGATGATGTCCAGCAAAATCATGCTTTACTGGAAAAACAGTAATCTGAAATATTTTGCTGGATGTTCCAGTAAATTGTATCAAATGTAAAATTCGGACCTGTCTTCGCAGTTTGGTTGGTAAATTACTGGTTCGCGGTTTTGAATATTTTGCAGTCTAAGAAGCGAAGGATGACGTAAATTTTGCTGGAATCGTGGAGTAAGTATTCTATACTTTGTCGACGTACTTGAAAAGCTCATTTCTTTTCATCTTTACAGTCCTCTCACCTAAAAACTCACCCAGGGAGGCCCATCAAAAGTTCCTCAACAAGAGTTTATTTACTCCTTTGACTCAAAATTGTAGTCGATTTGATGTAATCGGTGAATATGTAATAAAATGTGTTTTTTAAACTATTAAAACATATGTATAAACAATCTAAAATTGCTATCCTTGCAACACTTTGCTGGATAGATTGCTGGACTTTCACCTCAGCAAAATCCAGCAAGATATTGCTGGTTTTCAGCGATAAAACATAGGTGTGTACGTTTACTTTTTTCACGCATGCAGCGCTCGCGAAAAGAGCAGCAGCTAAGCGAAAAGTTGACGTTTCGAGAAAGAGCATATCTCTCAGATTTTCACTTCACCGGAGGTGTAAACTGATCTATTTTGTTTCACAAGAACTGTAAACTGCGAAAAATAGAAACTGGAAAATTTCACTTTTTAAGATATCTTCGAGCATGAAACTAAGTCAAACTTCATAAAATCACTTTGAATAGTCAACCTTTGGTCACAAAGTTGGTAGATAACACATTAAGATTTGCAATGAAACTTTTTACACCAGTTTTCGCTGTTTCAGTTTCGAGATACAAATATTATAAGCCGTAAATTACCTCAAAACATAAAATTAACTTGAAGCACCTCTAATCATTACCGATTTTGCTAAAAATTTGCACAGAAGTTCAAATTAACATGACGAACAGTAATCACGGTTGACCCGGTTCATCCCGAACATTTCTGTTAAAAATAACAGGTCTAATCGACATGAATCCGATCGACGTTGTTCGTTTATCAACTTATGATTCTTATTCATCAGTTTTGGAATAGCGTGTACATTCCACACTGGACCCTACACATCGAACCCATGAATTGATTGATGGGCCGGGACCCAAAATACTTTACTTTCTTTCAGAAGAAATATGGGTCCAGAGATTTTTTGTATCAGTATATCGCATCGATCAGAGAAATGAGTTACGCGTGTCACTCAAGTTTCTTCACCGGGGGATGGGGAGGAGTCTAATACCTCTCAAAAACTGTCTACGTAATTTATGAACAGCCTCCAACAAGTTTCACAATCATTAAAGCCGATTTTGTACGCGATCACAAAATTCATACTCAGTTCCTTGTTTAAGTGCCACCCCATGAACATCAATTAAAATGAACTAACCGTGTGATCCGCACGGCGGCGTTATTTTTAGCAAATGTTAAAAATATGTGTGTGCGTTCTCATGTCAATTATTAAAAACCCGAAGCCGTTGGTTAGCTGCTTTCGGTACCTTCACCGGCTTCACCACAACTTTCTTAATGGGGAGCGTGCATATTTCTGTCATTGAACATCAATTTAGCAAATTGTGAATTTATAAAACCGGGTGACTCCACTCGCATTCGCAGTCAAGGGGTAATCAATCATTGCAAGTTTGTGCGCGAAAGAAAACATATACAACTTTATTAATACATAGGGTAAGGTGGGGCAAGATGGATCAGCTAGTACAGTTCTTAATTTATTTGTTTGTCAAATCAGTGGGTTCAATGCGAACCCAATGATGGCATTGGCATTGAACCTGTTGAGCAAGACAATAAATAGTAAATAAATCCAGTAGATGATCCATCTTGCCCCACCTTTCCCTACAACAAGCAAAGAAAACTCACGAGGTGCGGCACACTTGGGTTGGGGCTCGAATAGATGCGCTAACAGTACATATTTTGATTTTGAAGAATGAGGAAAAGGCCACGCGGGCTTGGTTTTGTTTACAATATGCATCGATGTTTACTTTTTTCTATTATTATTAATCCAACGAGACCCCATCGCCAAATTCAGCAGAAACAATAAAAATTGAGCAAGTAGGCTACTACGTGAATAATGACATTCAAGCACAAGGGGTGCGCACATGCATAATAATGTGGGTAAATGGCGTTTGTAAACTCACCTGTTTTATGGTGGTACTGATGGGATCCGATTTTATTCGTCAACACGCTTCCTTCGAGCGAGGTCATCGATATTTCATTATCAATATCGACCGGCCCCGTGGAGGCGACCGTGCCCTGGATGATGACGACATTCTTGGTTTCGGTGGGGCTGTCCTTTTCGGCAGAACCTGACCCATCAACCCTCGTGTAGACGTCGTTGTCTTCCGCTTTGTGTTGACGCTGATCACGCTGGTCGTACTTTTTGCAGATGTCATTTACGTTCAGTCCATCCAAGCGCTGGAAGAGATTATCCATCGATCGGCTACCAGCGTGGTGATCGTCAACGGTTCGACATTCTCGGTTCACATCATCCCAAGCACAGTAGGGATCCTGTAGCTCTAGGCATTTGCGGCAAGATTTGAACTCGTGTTCGTTGCAATTACTGAGTGGCAGCGAAATTATCTTCCCATTGCTAATAACAATCAACTTTTTGTTCTTCTTGGAAATGGTCAATGCGTTCACCTTGGTACCTATTGGGAATGCTTGAGTTTCGCTGATTATAACGGTTTTGACCTCATCCGTCGAGTTGGACGACAATATGTTAACGAATTTTATGACTTTTCCGTCGTTGGTGCCAACAAAAATTACATCGTACGTTTTGCCATCCAACGCTTTCACCTGAGGATCAACAGTGATTGCCGAAAGGCGGTACAGAAGGCTAACTCGCGTGAAAATGGGTCGGGAATGTAAGGATCGCACCGATGCGTCCATCAAAGTATTCATCTTCACAAAATTCACTGAAGCCTTCGGCAGTGTCCGGCTATCATCAACGCACTTTCCCGGACGAGGATCCGGCACTTGGTTCGGGGGAACTGGAAGCCAATTCGAGTGAATATCTCGCTGCGATTTGAACGACCCCTCGAAGGTATCCAAAATGTCTTGAATGGAGAAAGCACACACGGCCGAACCACCGATGGCGTTGTCCGGCGTGGTCATGATCGCGTAGATGATCTGATTCGTATCGCCACCGTAGATGCCATTGATCGTTTTCGTAGTAGATTCTGTCGGAGGAAAAGTAAATCGTTATTGACCCGGTTGACAAGCGCGGATGATCGTTGAATACTTACGGATTTCATCGAAATAGAACGGATATTCGCCCGGTATGGAACAGTTTAGTCTGGCTTTCAAGAATGACGTCCAGCGGTCATTCAATGGATGTGGTCCACCTTTATCGTTTTTGCAGACACGGCTAACGCGAGAATAAATTGCTTTGCCACAGTTCATATACTCGACGGCCACTTCCCGGAAGAAAAACAGCACATATCCATTGTGCTCTACGGCACTCACAAAGGCCGGCTGATTGAGCTGCTTGCTATCGTACTGCTCGGTTCGCTGTGGTTCTCGGTAAATTAGAGGATCTGCTGCCGAGAAATCCGCTACCGTGGCCGAGTACAGATGGCCGTCTGGTCAAGAAGAAAACAAAACGACAAAACGGTCAAAGAAATGGAACAGAATAAATCAAACGTTCAATTGGCTTACCGGTAAACAAATAAGTGCTATTATGCAGAGGATTATACGGACATCGTCCGAGGGCTTCCATCTCATTGTTATCGTACGCAATTGCGCTATCGCTCGGCAGTATGTTGTAGTACCGGCAAAGTGGCTTGTACGAATTTGTCCCGCAAAGCATAATCCTGTTAGCGCCTACCCGCGCGTACACCCGAATGTAGTTTTGGCAGTCCTGATCCAGCTTGCCCTTGAGCGTACAAAGCTCCCGGTGGGCATCCGACGAGGGCCACGTGATCCGTTGGGTCGGATGTTCAATCAACCGATCCAGGCTAATGTTGTACAGCGCATTCCGCGCTCCTATCAGTATCGAGTTGTCATCTTGATCTAGCAACTTAAAGTAATCAGTGCTGTTGCCGAAAAAGGCTGGTATTGTGTTATCTGTGAAAGCGGAGGGGAAGAAACAAAGTAAAACATGGATGAGAAAATGGTTAAAAGGTTATAGGGTTTTAAAATTCAAATTCAATCAATCAGCACACGGGCGCGTGATTGGATGGAATTGATTGGGGGAGAGAAGAAGAGTTTGATCAACAGGGTCAAATTTTTATGTGTGATGGAGATGACTTTTCGCTGACGAATGATATTCATTTGGCTCGACTTGTAGTTTACGGACAAGATTGGAGATATGTTGATGTTATAGTAAAATACAGATTCCTCTTTTAACCAACTGGATGGATTAGAATTTATGACAATTTCTGCAATATATACATATAGTTCACACGTTGTTAACGCTGGATTTGGCGTAAATTTAAGCAATATTTCATATAAATTCAAGCTCAACTTGAAACCTTATAAGCAGTTCCACGCCAACTGACAAATCGATTTCATTTTTACCTCTCCGAATTCCATTAAATTTCGCATAATAGTTCACTAGACGCAATGAACCAAGTTTGTGTCGCAATACGGCCTTTTAGACTAACGTCTAATTTTGGTTATCTAACGATTTTAAATTGGCTCACTACTTGACTAGCCTATTGGTCCCAAGCAAATCGATTAACGTATCCCATTCTAGTCAAAATTCTAGTGCTACACAATGTTTGTTTTGATTCGCTATGAAAGTTTGACAGATAAAATGAGGGGTTATTGGATTTTCCTATGTTTCGAGGGGTGATTCGACTAGCTTGGGACCGAAGATAGTACCAGAGCTGAGACAAAAAGTTCAGCACGTTTCTTCGGGACCTACTTGTCTTAGAGTTACCTCTATGGTAAAAGCATAGAGGTCTAGTAGACTAGTAGGTCCCGAAGAAACGTGCTCAACTTTTTCTAAACATAGGAAAATCCACTAACCCCTCATTTTATCTGTCAAACTTTCATAGCGAATCAAAACAAACATTGCGTAGTACTAGAATTTCGACTAGAATGGGGTACGTTAATCGTTTGCTTGGGACCAATAGGCTAGTCAAGTAATGAGCCAATTTAAAATCGTTAGTTTCGTATTGATTGTTGGTAGAAGAGCATGTTTCGAAGGTTTATGGAGTATTTCATCGATTCATTAATTACGTTTCCTTAGTTGCCTTTCTCACTTCATAAATGCCAATGCAATAACAGATGTTCGCATAAATGTATATCTACTATTATCTAATCTAATTTATCTCTCCGCAGTGGTTAGTGCAATGTGTACCTATTAGAGATGGGCGATCCGCTTCCGAGCTATTCTAAAAATCTGATTCACTAACGTGAGCTGATCACCCATGGTTCATATTTTAGGAACCTCAGCTCATCAGCTCACTGATATCGCAAGCCTAATCTTTTCAATCCGTCACTTACATATAGCGGAATTTTTCTAAAAAGGACTCCGCTTATGCATTGAACAGCCACCGTAATCCAGCTTTCCATGCTCGGTAATGGCGGCCTATTTGTATGAATAAATGTATCCTTCACTGTGCTTTTTGAAACTAACTGGAGGGCGTATTTTCTTCTGTTCCTGGGTTGGTGATAGGGAGGGGTTAAAATCTGAATATCCAGATAGCGTCAAAAAAGCACAGCGAAGGATACATTTATTCATACAAACAAGCCGCCATTACCGAGCATGGAAAGCTGGATACAACATATCCGGTGAACTTGGAGATTTGGGCGTAATTGCTTTTGTAAACAAACGCGTCAATCGCCGATTACTCGCAAATAAAAGTTCAATCTAGCAAACAAACTATACCAAATGATAGAGGAGTTGTTAGTATTCGATATAGGCGAATCCAATGGAAATTAAGCAATTGTTGCAGCCTCTGGTGGTGAATAAGAGAACCATCATAAGAGTGGGCTGAAATTTTCGCCGTGAAGCATAGGAAGAGGCAAATGTTTTTCCCTTTTCTGATTAATTTATCCATCGCAGGTGCTTGTAATCATCATCCACATGGAATATTTTGTTTTCTGTATCGATTTTGGAGTGAACCGGCCTGTGCTTCCACATATTTTTGTTAAGAAAAGTGAAGATTTATAAAACTACCCAAGCGGTTATGATCTTCCGGATTTTTAATGTGGTGTTATTTGAGCTGTAAATCCGTTCAAATATGTGAAAAATAATAAGACAAGACCCCTACCGATGGAAATATGCAAGATGTGCTCAACAATATGCGTTAATTTGAGATGTATAAATTGTAATTTGGATGTAAACAAACGGTTTGGTTGACGTTTCCTCTCATAATCGCTCGTCGTGGGTTAATAAAGAAAACTAACTAATCTAACTCTCATAATCGCCTAGCGTACTCTACATTGGTGGTGCATAGAAACAGCCTATTGAGCTTTAATTCGCGAGAAATAAGTGATTGACGTGTTTTTTTACAAAAGCAATTACGCCATAGAGGTAACTCTAAGACCACTGGGTCCCGAAGAAAATCATTATTATTTTTGGCTCACTCAGTACCAGAACAACGGTCCCAAGCAGTCCCAAGCTATTTCACTCACCCCTGCATGTTCTGCATGAATCCACACACCCCTGATGTTATCTGTCAAACTTTCATAGCGAATCAAAACAAACATAGTGTAGTAATAGAATTTCAACTAGAATAGGGTACGTTAATCGTTTGCTTGGGACCAATAGGCTACTAAAGTGGTGAGCAAATTTAAAATCGTTAGTTTCGTATTGATTGTTGATTACGCCCTAATCTCGAAGTTCTCCGGATATGCCTACTGATCGATGGAATCAACGGTAAAATTAAACTTACAAGTGGATGTATGGGAGAGTGATATCTGTGCATGTGTTACACGATATTGTATTTAGGAAGGCAAAAGTATTAGCATAGAGGCAACTCTAAGACCACTGGGTCCCGAAGAAAATCATTATTATTTTTGGCTCACTCAGTACCAGAACAACGGTCCCAAGCAGTCCCAAGCTATTTCACTCACCCCTGCATGTTCTGCATGAATCCACACACCCCTGATGTTATCTGTCAAACTTTCATAGCGAATCAAAACAAACATAGTGTAGTAATAGAATTTCAACTAGAATAGGGTACGTTAATCGTTTGCTTGGGACCAATAGGCTACTAAAGTGGTGAGCCAATTTAAAATCGTTAGTTTCGTATTGATTATTGGTATTAGCACCCAAGTCATCTGTTTTAGATTTATAGCAACCGGCGGAAACTAACGATTTTAAATTGGCTCACTACTTGACTAGCCTATTGGTCCCAAGCAAATCGATTAACGTACCCCATTCTAGTCGAAATTCTAGTACTACACTACGTTTGTTTTGATTCGCTTTGCAAGTTTGACAGATAAAATGAGGGGTTCGTGGATTTTCCTATGTTTCGAGGAGTGCATCGATTAGCTTGGGACCGAAAATAGTACCAGAGCTGAGCCAAAAAGTTGAGCATGTTTCTACGGGACCTTCTGGTCTTAGAGTGGTTCATAAAATTGGTGAATTAAAAATACAAACTTTTTTTGATTATTTGAGACCGACCGATGTAATGTTCTTAAAAGCTGTAGAACAAATAATTTGAAGCAACTTTGCTCAAGACATCAAATTTCTATCTCTAATGGTTTATGAGTTATGATTATTTAAACAAGCCGGTTAAGGGTAGCCGCTAGAAAATCAGATTCCTGTTAAAAAAAAATGTACGTTTATTTCTCGTAGAAACTTTGTTCTTATCTATGTTGTTATCTTTTATATCAGAAAATTTATGGCTAGTTTTCGCTGTAAAATATGATTTTTTTTTTAATTAAATTTAATGGTTTAAACAAAAACTGCTCCACTTAAAAAAAATGATCCTTCAAATAGAATTATATATTTGAAAATCGGTTTACTCCACTTAGAGATATTGACAATTGAAAAGAGCATTTTTTCGAAGAAAATCACATTTAACTTTCGAATCAAAAAAGATAGGAACCTGGTTGCTTCAGCGAAAATATGCATCACCATAAGTTCTAAATGTGTTCTCAATAATTTTTTTACGAGAAATAAACGTATGAAAATATATATAAAGAAACCCGATTTTTAGAGGCCACTTTAACCTGCTTGTTGAAAATAATCATAACTCATGAACCCTAAGAGATAGAAATGTTATGTTAATGTCTTCAGCAAATGTGCTTCAAATAGATTTTTCTACAACTTTTTTGAACATTGATAAGGCTACCTAAAACAATAAAAAAAAGTTTGAATTTTTTAATTCACCAATTTTATGGACCACCCTGGTTTCACTAACATAAAAAAAATCAGCCAAAAATATGAAGAAACTTTCCAGAACACACTATATATCTAAAACTGAAGGTTCGGGCGCAAACATTTTTGTTTTCCTAAATACGGCTTTTTGACCATTGTGCTATGTATTTACGTACCAGGCTATTATTGCTGACGTTATTCTTCGAGCATATATCTAGATAGAGCTGGAATTAGGGCGAAACAGCTTTTGTAAACAATGACTTCTATCGATGATTTCTAGGAATTCAAGGCAAGTCCACGTAGACCATTCCAACCATCGGATAGGGGAAGTCTTTCCCTACCAGATGAGCATGTTGTTATGCCTGGGCGAGCCTTAAAACTCTAGAAATCATCAAGAGAAGTCATTGTTTACAAAAGCTGTTAGGCCCTAATTCCAGCTCCATCTAGATATGATCTCACCTCTCCTCTCAATTCCCTGTGGGAGCGGAAGATCGGCACAAAAGCAAATAACCAAAAAGCGAAAGTCAGCTCTCCCCGTCCCAGCTCAGCTCCGGATCCGAATCATCGACCCGAATGATTCTCTGGAAGCTGTTTAGGATGACAGCTCTCGGACCCATCCTGCTCTCGAACCCGTCCTGCTCTTGGACCCGTCCTGCTCTCGGATACAACTTTTTTATTTAAAATCTCTCATGAAAGTCATCTTCCAGAGACTTTAAAAACTCTTAAGGCGAATGTTTTATAGTGAAATTTGTTGTCTGTATCTTTTCAAATAAAAAAGATTTAGCCA